ACTAGATGTTATATACATATGTATAACATCTTTTTATTTTACAAAAAATATATTTGCTATAACTCTTCTATATTAATAACACTTTTTACAAATATTATGAATTAATGAAAGATAGCATAAAAACATTGTTACATGCAGTAAAACGTTGCAGCGGACATTTGTTGTTACAGAATATTTTGACAATACACGCGCGCGATGCACAAGGCATTGCACCAGAATCAATATTATACGATTAAAATCTTCAAATAAGCATGCATACATATTCTGCAAAAAATTCTTATTTTTAGATTTTTAACTTTAAGATTGAACTCAATATGATTTTGTTATCGAGATTACATCTCAATATTGTATTATAACTTGACTTCTTGTATGCAATACGTATAATTTGCTCCGTTTTGCGTCCTTATTTATGATTTATACCATTAATACAATTTACGTAAACATAAATAGATATTTTTTTACATAAAATTCGAAGAATATTATCATGCTCTGATTATTTCGCGATATGAAAGAAAGAAGGACCTGTAAATTACCTCATGTCCAAATATTGGTAGACTGACGTAATGCCGAGGCTGTAGTAAACAGGTACGAAGACGAAACAGACGATGGGATATGCCAACAGCATTCCGTATAGAGTCTCCCACATGGCACTACCTCGATAATACAGTTCCGAAGGATAACCCAAGAAGGACCTAACACCGAGGGTTCCACGGGCGATTGATAACATCATCGCACCCATCGACACGCTGCCGGTGGCAAACACGTAATTCGCCTTTGTCTCCTTTTTCTTCGTTTTGAAGTTTCCCCATAGCGGTATCAGGAAGGAAATCACGATGAACCCGATGAACACTAGATAGTCCACCACCATCGATGTGATATCAGTCGTCATCCTGAATCTCCACGGTTGCTTCGGGACTCCTGCGATCGAAGTTCGTCTGCACAATTGAAGATGCCAAGTTCAACAATGATTCATATTAGGAGTGTGTTACTCGATACTCTAGAAGCTGTCGATTACGAGGCAAGTGGCTTTCGAGAGATGCTCGAGTTGTCGAGTGCCACAACAATTGTTTCTATCGGAAGTGTCAACTTGGGATGCTTGAATGCTACCTCTAACGTGATTCTTGTCTGATCTTCGTCTGATCACTGCCCGTTGAAATATTACGAAGAGATTCGTATTCACGAAGATGATAAGCGTGATAAGTTCCGGAAAGACTAATAATGGAAATTCGCTGATAACACACGCTTATATCTTGTTCGCGTGTGTGCATATGCGCACGTAAGTCTCGTTATGCAATTTTACGTACATTTCAGATACATTAATATAACTCAATATGATCAATGTGACGCGATCGGAGCGACAGCACGTATTGACTATCAACGTGGTGAAGCACTTGACGTTATTATGCTAACAACTTTGAAGGAAAGAGAGAGAGAAGAAAGACGTAATCCTATATGAAAAAGAGACAGACGAAAGAACGGTGATGTAGTGGGAATGTGATGTGACGGAAGAAGGGAGCCCGGAAGAACACGGTAGCTTCTTATCTTCTACCACTATTGTTTATCGGCGTCGTGCCGGCACTTCTACATAAGCACTTTTCATTGAATTTATATCCCGTTCACTTCTCGTGAAAGAAGGCACCTGATCTTCTAAAGAGCATAATTGTTTATAAATGATCTATTGTTGAATAAATGTATGCAACAGGCCGTAAGAATGCTTACAAATTTTAATGCTACTTACGTCAATTCTCGCAACATTTATGTTGCCTTACAAAGGCATTCATCTCTTTAAAAAAAAGGAATGGTACACAATTATGCTTGTAAGTTTGCATACATGTTATTACAACATTATTGACAATTCATATTACCAAAAATAAACATATTCTAATAAGTATGACATTTTCGCGTATGAATATTAATCCTATTATACATAGAAATTATTTCGGACTTGTTTTAGGTGTAAGTGATAAATTTTTATATGATTGATTAGAGCTTGTTGTGCAATATATTATAGATTAATTGATACGTTGCGCTAGATAAAATTTATTTATAAGCTTTATTGTTTATTTTTCATGAAAAAGATTATTTTTTATGAAAAAGAAATCCACAAAAATAATTATAACATATAATCAATTTTAACATGTAGTTAAATTGATTTCCATGAAAAGTAAGACAATTGCCACTATATCACAAAAAGTTTAAGGATAATTGTTTGCAAGAGCCCGCGTTATTTTTTAATATCCCAAACTTTTTATTACTTCAACTCAACGCGTTTATTACGTAGGAGCTATAAAATCCTGTATAGTTCGTGAGGAACGGTTAATCCGGGAATTTTCTTGGATAAAAAGTTTTTTTCCAAGCATCATTCAGAGTAGGTACTTTTTGTAAAGCACTTTAATTTTGACATGTACATAGAGAAACGAAATATAATATAATGGTGCCTTTCATTCGCTACGAGAGAGAGATTCACTCTTATATTATCTTATATATTATATCATCTCTGTAGTTCCCCAATTTTGATAAAGTTGTTTACAAAAGTATAAATGGAGATAATGCATAAGAATTTTGCTTAATCACTGGTGCTATGATTTCCTTCAAGCGTTTACACGAAATTCTGAAATTTCGTTTTAGTTTAGTTTATTAACACTAGAACAATCAAATTTTTGACTACAAAAAAATTTTACCAATCTCATTAGTGAAATTAATATTATTAGTGTTAACAATTTAATTAATATTAATGAATTATTGCTCTAAAGATACATATGTATTATATAAATTCATATTGGAATGAAATTTACAATTAAGCTGTATGGAACTACCATTTCTGACTTAAAGGCAAACAATGCTCTTCCTTCGTTCACAAGTCAAGCTAGTAAAAAATATTTGTAAAATTGAGACGGAAAAGTAGTGAATTGTGTTTGGCATTCCTTTTCGTAGTAACTCCTCCGTGAATTTGTGGACTACTTCCCATTTTCTACTGTTCAAATTCATTCCTTATCCTATGCGATACCATGGTTCGCTCAGCATGGAACAATGCTGAGTACACAATACACATTTACGCGATATGCGTTCGGTGTGCAAAACGAGGACTTGGCCGGATGGCGTACGCGTTAACGTGAGTGGCCAATGAAGAACCAGCCTTCGTGGAGTTAACACAACCGAGAATCCATTGTATCACACTTGGAAACAATAGGTTTGCGAACCTCTCCCCCCCCCCTCTCTCTTTCTCTGTCGTTTGTCGTCCATTCCCTTTCGTTCTGGTTCTATTTTCCGTTTCGCTTTTAGCTCATTTTCCCTCGTCAGCTTTCTCTGAGAATGTGACAGTTCCTTTCACGTTTGCCCGCGTTTCTGGCAAACTTCGCTTTTGCTATTTTTGTACGATGTCTATTTTCATTCCGTGTCCGATCTTCTTTCTTGCGTCGCGTTTCAGCTTTATAGTTTATCGTATTCATCCCATTTTCCATCTTTTTACAGAATCGAAAATCATTTCTGACATTCGTTATCGTCGATAAAAGTGACAGGGCGCATATAGAGTGTACAGCAAGAAATCAGTAAAATGCTCGCGTAACGCCAATGTATGAATGCACGACGCACGTGTGCATAAAAGAAGAATCGCAAGCTAGTCGAGTGTAAAAATCGCAGCTAAATGTTCTGTAAACCATGCATCCGATGAGGTTGCTGCCAATTCGAGCGAAACAAGTTCCGAGGAAATACCATTATTTCATGACTCCTTCGAATCATGGGGAATGTAATTTGAATTATTCCGAGTAGTGATATTACTCAAAGAAATATTTAATTTTTGTCATATATATAATTTTTCAAATGTTTAATGATATGTCTATGACGTCAATAGAAGATCTTGTTCAATTTTTTCTTGAAAAACATATTTATATAATTTGACAGATTTCTATTGTAGTATTATCTAATTTCTTAAATATTTCTTTTTGTTAGATTAACTTTTTGCTAAATTAACTTTAATTTGTCTATATATATTTATCACATAAAGTTTTATTTTTTATAAGATCTGAAAATGTATCACTTTAAAATGCATAAATTGACGTTAACACTAATAAATTCTTGATATATCGTTGACAACAAATTGATGAATTTATAACAATGTATTTGACTTTATCTACGTTAATGATGATATGTCATAATGATGAAACTAAGTGGAATACACATAGCTTCCGGTGGCACAATTATCTTATGACTCAGACTGAGAACGCGTTTTGCCATCGTTGACATAAATAACGAAACAGAAAATAAGATTGTCATTGGAAGATTTATGTCATCACTTAATATTATTCGACTGTCTAATTAATGAAAGTTGATAAAATTCGTTAAGATATATATTGGCGCCGGTAAAGTACTAGTTCTTGCATATTATTCGCGAATGTGCATCAACGATGCACCAACGATTGTCACATCAAATAATATAATACACGTATAGGTACTTACTGATTTGATACTGCTCGACTATAGAAGATGATTTTCTCGTTACCTTAAAGCAGAAAATATAATAAATGATATAAATCAATTTAAATAAAAAAGATCAAATTGAATGGAATACTTTTTAATTATTATCAACATTTTAATGATAAAATTTGAACTCTTTCACTTTTTTATGTACTTTGTACCATGTTGTTCACGATAATGTCACGCGAAGAAAAACAAACAATTTTAATGACCGTCTCATGTTATCCAATAAAACAAGTGATTATTTTAAATATCTTTACACAAAAAAGAAATGAAAAAAAAAAGAGAGGCGAAGAGAGTTTTAACAACAAAGCACTTTTTTCGTAATACTTATGCGATTAACTGAAAAATAATGCTATAAAAAAGAGGATATTGATAAAAAAACGAGGCAAAATTATTCAACTTTCAATTTCAGATGTGTTTATGTTCCCATTTTATTTCGTTTATTAGATACCATCTTGATAAAAAACTCTTTATCTCTATTAAACATTTATTTTTATATCTATCACCATCATTTGTTATATCGGACAGGCTATGTTTTTTATAAAAATCCAACACTTATGAATTAGTATAGTAAATGTGACATTTTATAATTTTTGTACAATTATGAAAGAGATAGAGTTTAAGATTTAAGCAACTGTGACAACTCTATCGCAAGTAATATCAAATTCCAAAAATTTTCCATTGACTTGTCACACAAGTCGGGATCAAGATAACTTTTAATTTCCATTGTTACTACAGATTAAACATTTCGAGTTAATATCAACAAAATTAAACGTTCGCTTGTAAGAAAATTCCGGTAATAAATCATTGTGTAATACGTTTTAATATCTATAGCAATTCAACGCATGTACTTAATATATATTGCATAGATTAAATTTTTAAGAAACAAGCTACAAAACAAGATAGA